TAGCTCGCAGGAAACACAACGCCGCGCACTTTGCAATTGGATGCTTCGTAACCAAATAACGTGCATCGATGGCGGCAAGGGTGCTGTTCTAGTTGTTCCTTGCAAGTCAACGAAAGAATGACCACTGACAACGCGTCTGCAGGACTCGAGTTGAATGCGGCGAGGTGCGCATCAGAAAGTAGCGCCGCCCAAAAAGGCGAACATTGGGGTGTTGCTAGTACATTGCGCCCACCCACACTCCAAAACGGTCTCTCTCAATCCATGCGGGCGCCCGTCCCCAGCAGCCAAACGCCCTATGCGGCAGGCACCTCCACACCTGTGGGCCTCCGCGTCAGTAGACGCAAGCAGCTCATGTGGCCACGTCATCACCGTGCAAAACTCCGGGGCCGCCCCGTATCCTCCAACACTTCCCCCTATCATCCGCGTCATTGGCGAATCCCTTAGGCAGAAGAAGTGACACCTGCATCCAGCAGGCCCACAACCATCATCTACGCCGTCGCCGCTGTGATGTAAAAGGAAGCTGCCGCAGTCTCCCACAGGAAAAGGCGGCAGCTGCGTTGTGTAGGTTTGCCAGCCAGCGGTAAAGTGAAGCGGACTTGGCCACCACGGCAGAAACACCAGCTTGTCGCTGTCCACACGCCGCCTTCCAACGCAATGTCTTTGGGAACACAACTGGAGTAAAGCACAATAAAAACGGGGAAGTTGAGAAAGATGCAGCATTATCCACAAGGGTCCCATCGGGTCGCAGGTTTCAATTGTAAGTTTCTGCAAACACATCAACAGCCGACGGCGACGTGTCCCGCCAAGGCATGCGTGCCAAATAACAGAGAAACCACTTTCTCCAATACTTTTTAATTGTTTCCGCTGTGTTTCCGTCTATTCCCATGACAGGCAGAGATAGACGCAAAATACACTGCGGAGCCTACGATCGCGGGAGTAGACTTTAGCGCACTCAAACACACAAGCACAAAAACACGTCACCCACATTATATATATATATATATATATATATATAATATGTTAACATCTTGTCGCTCGCAAAATGCCTCTACCGGGATGTGCCGGCCGGCGGTGGAAAGAGAGGGATAAACGTTTACAACAACAATGAAAAAAACAAAAGGTAGGTAAGAGATAGAGGTCAGTACTCTGTTTTGCGAAACTGTGGAGCCGCAAGCACGACCCCGTTTCAGTTTCTACTTCCAACTCTATGCACGGAGGCACCCGCGCAGTCGTCCGGCCCCGCTGCCACAACGAAGAAAAATAAAAAAAAATGATTCATCTGTTAAAGTGGCAGGCAGAAGAGCCACTAAAGAACTTCTTGGGGACCATGCCGAAAAGCGAAGCCGCTCATTTATCTTCCTTTTTTTTCTTTTTTTCTTTTATGCTCTTCTGTTGGTTCGCCCTCCAACTGCAGCTGCAGCGGCACACCACGCGTCCCCTGGCAGGCGCTACAGGGAAGAACTCAATGGTTTTGTATGACTCCAAAAATGGAGGCGGTCGTACCAAAAACAACTGCCACAACTCCAGAAATAAGCAAAAAATACGTGGCGAGGTAGTGAAACCAGCCAACGCTCTTCCGGGTCCAGTTCCCAGCGTACATGTAGAAGAGAGCGGGAAGGATGAAGCCCAAAAACCCACCGCAAAGGCTCCCCACAAGGCCAAAGACAATAGTGATGCTTGGAATAAACAGCCCGAGCACAAGAGCAATGATAGACAACACGGTACAGCACACGGCATTCTTCCAGAAGGGCATGGTGGTAACATGGCACCCAACGCAGTGGTACAAGGAGTCTCGCGAGGGCTGCATGCACATGGCAAATCCGACGCAAAGTTTAAAGGCGATACCGGCGTAGGCGACGGCAATCATAGGATCATCACGGACATTGTAAAAAAGCAGAACTGAATCTGTGACGCGATCACCAAAGTCTGCATACCCAAAGAAGCCAGCTAGAATGTAGAGGAAGCAGCACACAGTCATACTAAGTGCTGTATCCCTTGAGATGCGTCGGGGTGTTGGCTTTCGCATTTCCGCGTACACCTCAAGGCAGTTTGTTTGGCACAAAAAGGAAAAAATAAAGAGCGAGAATCCAATGATAACGCCGTTGCCGGAGCGAAATAGTTTCAGCTCATGGCGTGGTCTCCCGTGCTCAAACCCTTGCGCGGCGTGCACCACGATGGCGAGAACAAAAAACATCATGAAGGAGACGCCAACGACTGAGGCGTAGCGCAGGGAATTGATCTGCTTTGGAATCGAAAGCGGCAGCATCACACAGGCCCATATTAGTATCACTAGGCAGCGTTTTCCCCAGGCTGTTCGCAGGAACGGGGTCACGGATGGATCGTCTAGGATGGGGGTCAACATGTCGCCTATGGAGATGACGTAAGACACGCACGACCCGAAGCAAAACATCCACATGTTGAAGGCCGCCCAGTAGTCCCACCCACGCCCGAGTAGTCCGCGCGCCAGCTTCTCGTATCCCGTAAACCCGCTTTTGTCAACCGCCACGGCCAAGATGTAGGTTGAGTACACCGTCGCCACGGAGATGAAGATGAGAACAAACAGGGAGAGCACAATGCCTGTGCTGTTAAACGCGGATGGGAGCGTAATGATTCCAGAGCCTAGCGTCACCGAGGCAAGGTTGTAGGCGCCGGAGAGCATGCCGCCGTGCGAAATTATGTCAAAGTACCGGAATTTCCGCCCTCGTCGCTCGGCACCGTCCCCCAGGCCTGTCGCTCCCTCTTTTCCACTGTTTATCGCTCCTTGCTCCAAAAGCCCCAGATTGGAGTTAATCAATGCCTGGTCCACCCCCTTCGGGCTCTCAAGCTCCTGCATCTCCTCCACCTCGTCCTCATACACCGTTTCTCTCTCCCGCAGCATTTGTTTGTGCGTGTGCAGCAGTATTCTTTTTTTTTTTAATTATTCGCCCCAGCGTGCTTCCCCCCTGCTATTGTTCTTTACTCGACAGCAGTAACGACACAGAAAGAATAAGAAAAACAAGGATCAGAAATATAACGATATAAATACACCCTGTCAGCCGGCGGCAATCGTATTGAGCAGCTGGAGAACTCGCACAAAGACAAAGAAAATGTGGATATGTACATACTTGCAAAGGAAACTCACGCAATTACATCTCCGACTGTTCATACGCCGCCTCAGGGGGAAAGGGAAGGGGTGGGGCTGTTGGGCAGGTGCAACTAAACAGCGCGTTGATGCGTCGTGCCACGTAGTCCTGAATAGCCCTTAGATCCCTCAAATCGGTCACAAACAACAGGCGCCCGACGTCTTCATGGAGGTTCGTGGTGTAGTCTGATACGCCAAGAATTTGGCCCACCTGCAACATCGCCTCCACCACGACCGAGCGAACAGCGGCCTTCGTATCCGCGTCCAAAAAAAAGTCCTGTGTGATTATTCTGGAGGCAGTGTCTAGATCGACTGGTTGATACTGTCCACTAAGCTGCACAAGATGTTGCTGTTGCAGGAACCAAAGTTCCTTCTTGTAGTTTGCAAGCTCCGTGACGCTCACTTCTAATTCGCGTTGCGCCTCGACAGTCATAAGCGCCAAACCCTTCCCCTCCCCCAACTCCGTCAGACCCGTCATGGTGTTGGGAGATTTTGGCATCGTTGGCGGTGCGGCCGCGTAGGAAATGCCTGGAACGGCGTTGCTCGTCGTTGTGAGAAGCCGGATGTTGTTCTCCCGAACTGTGGCGGTCAGGGAGCTAAGTTCCTCTCTAAGCTGCTTCTGTCGCTTGATGCAGAGCTGCTGCTTCTGTAACTCCAGCGCAATCGTGCGCAGCAGTGCAGTCCTCTGCTCAGCAATCGTTGTCGTCTTCTTCTCGAGCACAGAGGCTTCCCACTGGGCCTTCAGCAGGTCCACGATGAGCTGCGACATCTCCTCCCGCTGATGGACTTTGTCTCCCATCTCCTCCAAGGATAGCTTTGTCATCTCACTAACCCCCATTTCCAGACGGCGGACAATGGAGCGAAGCATCTCCTCCTTCTGCCGCCTCGTCTCGTTCTGCATCTCAGCCATGAGAGCAAGATGCTCTCCGTGCCCAGTGAAGTACAGCTGCTCAGCCTCGAGACACCGTTGCTGCGTCGTCACCTGCTCGAGAAACGCCGCCTCCACCTCATTGTCCTTCACGGCAAGTTCAGTCAGCGTCTGCAGCGTCGCGCACTGCTCGGCAAAGAAGTCCGCCGCCAACTCCTCCATGTCCTCCAAGAGGGTCAGCCGAGCATCAGACAACTCAGTCATGAGATTCAGCGCCGCCTTGTTGACCTTCTCCCTGCTTCGCCGTGCCTCTTCCCGCTCGTTTCCCTTCAGCAACTCAAAGTCCCTGGCCTCCTCCTGGATGTTTTTGATGTTCTCCATCTGTTGCTTCAACGCCACCTCCGCCTCGAGAAACTGGCGCTGCGCGCGGGGGACAACCAGGTGCCGGGGCCGTCCCAAAAAGGCCGTCCGCGCGGCCTCGCCCGTGCCGCTCCAGCCTTTCTCCCCTTCGAAGCACGCACGGGTCGCGTCCAGAAGCGAGCCGTCCATGAAAGCGGGCTTGTCTTTCACCTCCTTCACGCGATCCCACAACATGTCGGCCTCCAACTCGTCGCCTGTTGGCTCCGGTGCCACAAGCTGCAGCGGGGCATTCTTCTTCTTTCCTTTGCGTGGCATTCCGCTGCCTTGCGCCTCGTCCTCGCTCGCCCTCTCCCTCGAGCCGAGAGCAGTAATGCGAGAGCGTGGGGGTTGCAAAGGGAAAACCCTAAAAAAAAAAAAAAGAATGTAGTAGAGAAGAAGACGCAAAGCATAAAAAAAAAACGTCAACATTTTCAAACATCCAATGAGCCTCCCTCACCACGCCCGCTTTTGTTTTGTTTTTGTTTCCTTTGCCAACTCTTTGCTTGGTTTGTTTTTCTGCTGCAAGAGGCGCGCTTGCCTTTTCCTTCCGTGTGCGGGCCCTTCCCGCTCGTGCGATGGTGAAACGTCGTAATGGTACAGTAACGTGGCGCCTCTGCCTTGGCATCTGCACACGCAAAGCTGCACCGCAACCGGCACGACAACAAAAACAAACCAATGAGAATAATCGCACAGCAAAAATAAAACAAAATAAAGAAGGTAACAGCATGCGTCGTTATTCCCGCACATTCTGTGGGGTGCCTGTCTGTTCCTTCTGCGTGTGTGTGAGTGCGTGCCTTATTCTCCTCTCTGCTGTCTAGTCTATCATAATGTACTGTGACACGCGCTCCGCATGCTCGAGTGCCTGCAACGCCTTTAGCATGGTCTCTTCATGCCCCACAGGCCTCGCCGCAGCCGTTGCAGCGCCTCTGCAACTTGATGAGTGAGACTCCCGCGTTGGGGCAGTTGCGTCACCCGAGGCCACTCTTGGCCTGCACCTGATGTCCCGCTCTGTCTGAAACCGATCTCCCTGCCACGGGGAGATGGGCATTCCACGGTACTCCTCCTCCTCCATCTTCTGCGCCTCTAGCCGGATCAACATCAGTTTTTGATTCTTTCGCTCCTGCCACAGATGCATACGCACGTCCAGCGGAAGTCCCGAGACGCCGTCTGCAGGTATGCGGCCCCGGTTGATCTTTGGAGCGAAGGTGCACTCTGGCTCCAACTCATGCTCCCCCTCCGAAAACGAGCGTCGCCGTCTGACCCTCGCGCCGCCATCCACGTACAGTTGTTCAAAGCGTCGATCAAGATCCTCACGGCGCAAGCGCAACCTTGCAGAGGGAGTCTCGGCGCGCTTCGTTTGACGCGGCTTCAAGAGTCGCTCCGTTGTGGACTCGCACATCCGCGCCTCAATAAGCTTACTTACTCGATTTATGTTGGGGCGAAAGTCGGCGTTCGCCTCGGAAGTCTCAAGGCGCCTCTGATGTTGCTGCTGCATCCCGTGTTCGTACAAGTCCTCATATGCCCGCCGCCCCGGTTTTCTGTGCAGTTGCTCAGCCTTTTCCGAAATGGAGGGGTGAAACGAGTAGTCCAGATTCTTCTCGTTCATCTCATGCAGCCTTTCACGCACCTCCTTGTCCTCGTCCTGCCGCTCCTTGGCGTGCAAGTACAGCCGCTCCGATGCCGTATATGGGAGAGACAGCGTCTTTGCCTTTTTCGTAATCATTGGGGCCGCACGTATGGCATTCAACTCAGCTCTTTTTCTCTCCAGCTGCGCATCCGTCATCGCCTGGCGGCGCAGCAGAACCTCTGAGACGGACAAGGACTCAGTGTTCTCCTTCACCCGCCGCTCCTGCGCAAGACGCGCTGACTCAATCGATATGCGGGGATGAAAATTCAGTTCCGCGATGGACTCCTCCACAAGGCGTTCGTGCCTTGCGGCCCGCCGGAGCGCCACTGCCTGCGCGCTACTGGACAACGCGGCACGCGTCCCACTCCGCGTCGATGGCTCTGCTCTCTCCAGGAGTTTTCTATCCGCCATCTCCGCCGCCTCCTGGCGCGTTCGGCGTGCGCGCTCTACCCGCTCATCTCGCCGCCTCCCGTACTCCAGCAACCGGTCCTCGACAGGCACGCCGCCGGTACAACAGGAGCTATGGGATTGCAATGGCCTTCTCTCTTGCCGCCTCTCCGATCCCACCTCATCTTTTTCACTGCCAACGCTGCCGCCGCCACTATGCGACACGGACACAAGCCTCGCGAGCAGCCACTGCCGCTGCTCCTCAAACACTTTGTGCTGGCGCCGCAGTCGCTCATCTTCTGCCACAAGACGGCAGGCCAACACCTCGCCCAGTTCTGTCATTTGTGCAGCGTTATGCTCCTCCGGCAGTCCTGCAAAGAAAAGAAAAGAAAAGAAAAGAAGGAACGGGTAGCAAAGGGCCGGAGGGGCCAGACAACAACCACGCAGAGAGATACAGCAACGGCAGCATTCAAACACGTTAAACCGCATGAAAGTAAAAATAAACAAGACGGAGTCACTCAGGCACGATACTCTGCACAACTTATTTTTCCCACCGTCAAGATATAATATACTTGTTGTAAGCCGGTATGAGGCTGCATTTTTATCGCCCCCCCCCCTTTTTTTTTGCTTTCGGTGGGGCGGGGAAAATGTTTACATTTGAATATTTCTCATAGCATGCATTTGGTTTTATTCCCTCTTCTTTCTTTCTTTCTTTTTTCACCCCCCGTCTTCTACAGCTGACCCGCCTCCTTAAGGTATGACTGACTGAAGAATCGAAGCCCAAACGCATCGGGGTTCTTCATGAGGTTTCGGTCCTGCCTTTGCCACGCGGCCTCCGCAGTTCGCGGTATCTGTGATGAGTAGACGGGAGGCATAGCCCTCTTTCTGCGCTCCCCCTCCACTAGGTACCTCGTCCGGGCCTCCTCAAAGCACTTGAGCAGGTTGGGTAACGCAGGTCCCCGCTCTTTCTTGTGCTGCAAATGTGCGTGGTCAGGCAACACATTGGACGAACGCGGTGTGAAAGGTGCGTTGCCAGAATAATGAGTGTTCCCAGTCCGCATAAACGACCGTGAGGCGGACCGGGAAGCCCTGATGCTCAGCAGCCGTTCGTGCCGGCGTTCGTGCTGCATGCTGAGAGCCTGAATTTCCTTATGTAGCAGGTAAGTTTTCATGCGGAGTCGATCCGGTGAAAATACGTGTGGAAGAATGGCAGTGTTATTTGTCCTGTGCCTCTTCACTGTCGGGAGCTGCGCCGCTGCAGGAGGGGACGGCGGCGGCCCTTCAAAGGGCGCTGGGCGCACTTCTTCCCCTTCCTCCTGCCTGCACGGAAGGACTGCCGTTTGAAAGGGTGACCCCTCGCAGGCATCTAAAGTCTGCTGCAAGGCAGCGAGCGCCGCGGTGTCACAGTCCGACATTCGTCGCCAGACACTAACGCGTCCCACCAAGAATAAAAAATAAATAAACAAAAAGAAAAAAAAATAGTCACGATAAAAAAAACGACCATCAGCGAGAATGGTGAACGCAGAAAGAAAAAAAAGACTATAAGAGTATGGCTTCCTCATTGACGCCGGCTGTGGGAAACGACATCCTCGACCACAGACCAAGCAAGTCCCATTCCACAAAAAAATGAGTGGGTGTCACACGGAGACTACAAGAGGAGAGAAAAAGTTCTACGCCCCCAACGTCGTGAATCGCAGAGAGCACACAGCTCCGCCCCTGCCTGACGTGTCGCGCTGAACAGCGCTCACATGCTCTCCAGAATAGGGGGTTTCGGGGGACAACTCCGCAGTCACCCCAGACGCGGAATGAATGCGGGGGCATGACTCTCTTGAGCCAGGCACCACGGCAGCGCCCTCGTCATCGCCACGAGTCGTGGTATTCACAGCAGCGAGTGCTTCGCACCCCACACGCCCCCGAAGAGACTGGTAGGCTCGTTGCATGTAGTCGCGTAGTTCAAGAGAGAGAGAGCTATTTCTTTCTAACGGCTTCCAAGGCACAGTAAGGGACTGTTTCATCTCGCTTAAGCGGGATGCCGGGGGATCTCCAAACGGCCTCCCACCAACCTTTGTGGCTACCACCCTCATGCCATGCAATAAGTGAGAAAGGGATGTCAACCGGTGCCCCGTCTCCGCAGAGAAGAGAGCCCCCACGGGCCGCAAGTGAAGGAGTTCGGACACCCGCTGCTTGACTTGTGCCATGGTGCGGAGTTGCTGCACCATCATCAGAGCCGGAGAGGCGTCAGGCGACTCGTTGTTGACAAGAAACACTTTTTTGGGACGAACCTCAGAGTGAGTCTGCGCGTCGACACGGCGGGAAGGAACCAACGCGGCGGGCCGCACCAGCTCACCCTCCTTTTCGTCATCAACGTCCCACCTCTCCGCACGTTGCACCCCTTCCGTCACCGTGGATGCCGCCAAGACGTGGGCGCGGGGGGGTTCCTCCCCCAACGCCACGACGGCGCCCTCCACAATCGGGAACACAACACCGCCCTTCACCACCAGCGGTGCCTCCCACGGTTGCCCGTACTGTCCGATAAACACGCGCTGGGGCGGCACTCCGCAGTTCGCCACGGCGTGTAAAATGTTTGCAAAGCCAGCATGGTCCCGCGAGGCCTTGTGCCTGCCGTCCAGAATCACCACAGGGGCCATGCGAAGTATGGAGTGGTGCAACTCCGGATTGTAGGCGCAATCCCCCGTTAATGCCACCAGAGGGACACCGTTCTGCGAGACGGCAACCCCGCATGAGGCCTCGGTGGCAGATGCATCAAACACAACGAGCGACACGGTCTCCACCTCCGGCAAGCAGTATGGCAGCAAATTTGCGCCAGCCATAGCACCGCAGCAAGGCATGGCGACAAAGTCACAGACTCCACCACCACCATCATCGGCTGCCCTAACGTCCTCCAACCGCGAACGGACCTCCGCCAATCGGTGCTCTCTAAGGCGAACCATCACTGCCTCGCTGGCAATAATGCGCAGACGTCTCCCACTGCGACTCTCCACCGCAATGATGACTGGCAGCTCCGCAGACATGTGCGAGCGGTTCGAAAAGACAAAGATATTGGAGGGGACGACGCCAAAGTAGCGAAGGCACTGCCGCGTCACACCGTAGCCGGCGCCAAAGAGGATAAGTGGACGGCCGTTCACGCAGAGGACGTAGCCGGGGCTGCAAGTCCCGTCGTAGACCGTGGAGGCCCCTTTGCCCGTCCCCAAACAGACAACAGAGAACTGTGCATCTCGGCGCATGTCGCGGAGTCACTGCCGGGAAAAAATAATGGTGGTGCGCCGATGTCACTCTTCCCCGCGGTTAGAGTGGAAAAAATACGATTAAAGTTCCGAAAGTAAAAACAAAAAACAACAACAACAAGACATAATTGCAAAGTGAGTAGTCGCATCAAATGCGGAGTGGCGTTAGAAGCTCCAGGCAAAACTACCACTGCCCCTCCCCCCCTACCTCCTCTCCACAGTCATCCGTACCATGTCACCAGACCCAATTACGCCCAGGGTGCTCACACAAGAGACACCCTATCGATCGCAGCCCCTCCTCCTCCTCCTCCTCCTCCGTTCGATTCCCTCACACATGGCCACCTTACCCCTCATTTTATTTGGTGCGCAAAAGCACAAAAAGACACGAAGACAACCCAAAGGAAAAAAAAAGAGAAAGCAAACGGGGGAAAAATAAAAGAAGGAAAGAAGTAGGGCTAAAAAGTAAAATAAATAAAAAGAGATCTTATTGTTCTTTTTCTTTTCTTTTCCTTTCCTTTCCTTTCCTTTTTTTTTACTCAAAGTCATACATGAACTCATCCGGGTGTGGGCCATAGCGGTGATTTGTATTCATTGCGTCTATGGCATTCATGTCTTCCGGCGCCAGCTTAAAGTCAAAAATCTTGGAATTCTCCACTATGCGGCTCTCGTGTGTCGACTTGGGAATGGTGATGAGGTCATGCTGAACGTTCCAGCGGAGCATGACCTGCGCGGGGGTCCTGCCGTACTTGTCAGCAATGGCCTTCAGCTTAGGGTCCACAAGAAGGTTGCCTTGCCCCAGCGGGGACCAGGCTGTGACGACAATATTCTTCGCCTTGCAGTACTCCCGCAACTCCTTCTGGTTGTTCAGCGGATGGAGCTCAATCTGATTCACCATGGGAGGCACATTGCAGTGCTTCAGCAGCTCCTCAAGGTGGTGCTTCTGAAAGTTGCAGACACCAATGGCACGAACCTTCTTCTCCTCATAGAGTTTCTCCAGTGCACGCCAGGAGTCCAGGTACTTGTCTTTCCCCGGCCAGTGAATAAGGTAGAGGTCAACGTAGGTCAGGGCGAGCTTCTTCAGACTTGTCTCGAGGGCCTTCAGAGCTTTCTCGTAGCCCTGGTCGGCGTTCCATAACTTCGTTGTAACAAAGATTTCCTCGCGCGGGACACCGCACGCAGCAATGCCCTTGCCAACGCTCTTCTCGTTCTTGTAAATGGCGGCAGTGTCCACGTGACGGTATCCGGCCTTGATAGCGCACTTCACGGCATGGACTGTCTCCTCGCCCTCCGCGGATTTCCACACGCCAAGGCCAAGCTGAGGCATGGGGACCCCGTTTGAGAGCTTCACAGACGGCGCGCAAGCCATGTGAGAAGTGTTTCGCTCTTGGGTTGTATTTCTGAGTGTGTTATTTTTCCCAAACGGGCTTCGTTTGCTTTTGGTGTAGTTCTTTGGTTTTGCGTGTTTGTATGCTTTGCTTGAACCGCGACCGTCCTCGCGAAGGGGTGTAGACAAAGATGAAGAAGAAGAAGGAGAAGGAAGGAGAGGAGAAGG